GGCTCAGCGGCCATGGCTCACGGGCCCAGCCGCTCCGCGGCATGTGGGATCCTCCCAGACCGGGGCACGAACCCGTGTCCCCTGCATAGGCAGGCGGACTCTCAACCACTGCACCACCAGGGAAGCCCCATCTCAACTATTTTTGAGTGAACAGTTCAGCCGCACTAAGTCCAATCACACAGCTGTGCAGCCATCGACACCATCCATGTCCACGGCTCTCTCGTCTGGCAAACTTGAAACTCTGTGCTCATTAAACGCTACCTCTTCTCAGCCCCTGGCAACCACCATTCTACTCTCTGTCTCTATGAATTTGACTCCTCCACGTACCTCAAATAAGTGTATTCATACAATATGTGTCCTTCTGTGCCTGGCTTATCTCACTTAGCAGAATGACCTCAAGGTTCATCCATGTCGTAGCAAGTTTCAGAATCGCCTTCATTTTTAAGGCTGAATAAAATCCCATTGTGTGTATATACCACATTTTCCTTATCCATTCATCCACTGATGGACACTCAGGTTCCTTCTAAACCTTCACCACTGTGAATAATGCTGCTACGAACATGGGTGTGCACATATTGCTCGAGTCCCTGCTTTCCGTTCATTGGGGGTGTGCACCCAGGAGCAGAATTGCTGGGTCACATGACAAGTTACATTTCTGCGGAATGTGTACCTATTTCTGACTCCTGACCTCCCCAAGCCACTCTGGGAAGGCATCCTCTGGTCACACATGCCCAGGGACTGAGTCACAGCTTCCACTCACCGTAAATTTGCCCGTTGATGCAGCATTTTTTAAAGGTCATGATGTTCTGTGTGAGCGTCCCTGTCTTGTCAGAGAAGATGTAATGGATCTGCCCGAGCTGCTCATTCAGCGTGGTGGTTCTTGCCTTCGCGGGCGTGTCTTTCTCAGGATAGTACATCTGCAGGTCCCAGTTGATGAAGTAACTCTGTCCAAGACGAATCACTTCCACGCTAGGAAGACAAAAGATTACTTTTGATCGAGCTCTCAGATATGAGTGGCAGGCAGTGGATCTTGTCCTAGCTTTGCGCCAGGAGCGAGCTGCTTACCTATTGATACAAAGAGACAAGCCCTGCGGTGACCCATGTGCCCGGTCTCTGGGTTCTCCTGACCAAACACATCTTTCTCCAGCTTCAGGGTCAAAGTGTCCTCTCAGTGTGATTTCCTACTCACTCCTGAGCACATCTGGCCACGGCACCCCATATTCAGAACACGCCACCCACACGGGTGACATGGTAACACTGCAGGGGGCACCCCACGATGTGACAGCTTCTACTCTTTTCTCTCATTCCCCATCGCACTCAGAGACAACTGGAAAGGCATGTTCACCTTTGCCCTCAACTGGAGGACAAAGGGAGTGAGGGTCCACTAGGTTATACACCCGTGTGTACTCTCAAGTGGGACAAAGGGCTTTTGGCAAATAACCCCTAAAGCATGTTTTTTTCCTAAATTGTTTTTTTAACCATTTTTTAATTGAAGTATATTGTGTTAGTTTCAGGTATACAGCGAAGTGATTCAGTGATATATATATATTTTTTGAGGAATGCGTACCTATATTTACATATTCTTTTTCAGATTCTTTTCCATTATAGGTTATTACAAGATACTGAATATAGTTCCCTGTGCTAAACAGTAGGTCCTTGTCATTTATCCATTTTGTATACAGTCCTAAATTCTTATAAGGTTACAGAATGTCCAAAATACGATATTCTGAAAGGATAATTTCCATTTAAAAACTATAACTGATTAAATCTATCTCAACTATGTAAGAAAGGTGCTTACACATCCAGCAACTGTTCAGTGGGCAAAGGATGTGTCCATAATAAGCTAAACAAATGGAAAAGTAACTCCCTCCTTCTCTCCTCCCTTCTGTATTTCCTGAGTGCCTACTGTGTACCAGACACCATCCTAGGTACAGGGGACACATCAGTAAACAAAAGAGACAAAAATCCTGCTCTCAAGGAGGTTACCTTCTAATGGAGATGGACAAATAAATAAACTGGTAAACACACAGTATATCAGGTGATGAAAATTCTCTGCAGAAAATCAAAGCAAGGTGAGGGGAGCTGGAGACCGACAGGCAGAGGAAGTGATGTAAACTTCCCAGAAAGAGTGGGTCAGGAAAAGCCAGGGGGATAAGGTGACTTTTGAGCAGAGATCTGAAGGAAATGAAAGAGCAACCATGTAGATACGGAGGGGAAAAGCATGTTACAGGTGGAGGTCAGAGCAGGCGCAAAGGCCCTGTGGCAGGCACTGGTACGGCTGAGGAATTCAAGGAGGCTAGAGATGAGGGAGTGCAGGGAGTGGGTAGAGATGCTGGAGGTTATGGTTGGGTGTGGAGGGCAGAGCAGCAGATCACATGGGCCTTGTGGGTATAGTGTGGCTTCAGTGAGTCTTTTCTGAATGAATAGACTGTAGGGTTAAAAACAAAGCAGAGATACTATCTGAAATGACCTGATCGATTTATAGTTTGAAAGGACCTTTACTTCCAAGAGAAACAAAGAAAATCATATTAGTTACATGACGTGGCTTTTTAAACCTAAAACTACATATACGGTTTATTTCATAACATACATTTATAGATAGAGACAAAATCATCTGTATAATAAATAGTTCCCCTAACCAAGGTAAAACTCATCTCAGTTGTTTTTTTTTTTAAATAACTGCAAACACATGGCTCCCCAGGGCTTTACTTCATGTTAAAAGAACAATAGTAACTACCTGTAATAAAATTAAAAATAAAACAAATGCACATGTAATAAAATTAAAATAAAATAAATGCTTCTAATTACAGGTGTGCATGTGGCCCTATATGCCTCTGGGCTATTACTTCTCGGAACTAAGAGAAGCTCTGAATGCTGGGAATATCTCAAGGCACCATTTCTCTCCCAACGGTCTGAAGTTCAATTGACCAGGGATAGTGAACTTTGATATTAAAAAACGAAAAAGTAAAAAAAGTCCGAAATATCACAAAACAAGGTGATGACCATTTGTCAGAGATACGATCCTGACTCTTATCGCGGTTGAGGTTGAGATGAGAAACACAGAACATTTGGAGAGGTTGACGGTGGGCAGGGAGAGTGGTATTCCCATTAGAAGGTAGCATTCAGGAAACCCAGTGAGTTTTCCAAGCAATAGGTATAGCAGGTGGTAATAAGGAAGACACAGAAAAGAGGTTAGGAAGGCTCCTGAAAAGGAAAACAACCAAGTTATTCCACGACGTTGTAAATCTTCACACAGCTCTTTCTGATGCCTGGGCTTTGGAGCCCACCAAGAAGGAATCTTGCCAAGCAAGTGACTAAGGAGTAGAGTTTGATCTCTGAATCTGGTAGCCGTACCTGTCAAGAGGTCGAGATAAAAGATGCTGTGTCTGGCACAGAGCAGACACACCAACGTTAATTTCCTCTCCCCGTATCACCCTCAAATCTGAAATGAAAGCTATTTTCTTACTTGTTCCTTATGACCTTTGAAACAAGAATTGCTAGAGTTGAAGGTGTTACGTTGGGAAGATGTACTGTGTTCTTCCATTAAAGCAAAAGGCCAAAGAGAAGACAGGCTTACCTGACGTAGAGAGAGATGGGCACCAGGGTATTCAGAACAATGATGTAGCCCCAGAAATTTAGGAATCCACGGTAGGAGGGTGTGGTGTCTTCTCCATCATAGAGGTACCAAGAATAATTGCCAACTTGAGCTTCCCAGTAAGCATGGCCGATGGCAAGACCCGCAGAAAGCAAGATAAGAACAACAAAGATCTAAAAGACATTCAACAGTTAAGTTTATTCGAAAGATGCATTATCGACCCCACGCATTTTATAGATGCTAGTTTATCTTATCAATACTTTCCTTATGTATGATAATTTAGTAGTCTGTAAAAACAACACACTTAAAATAGAAACAGTGTCATAAGAATGCTTTGAAAGTCTATTTATTTCCATGGTTGATTGATTTATCCTACATACCACATATAAGGTGAGGTTTTGTTCCCAAAATTATCTTTCAGAAGAGAAGGTGGTATCTTACATTCAAATCTTTAAATATTCTCATATTATTGGACATCCTCTCAATTACTTTTCCTTTGAACAATAGCACGCTGTTTGGGAAAGACACCTTACCTTAGCGTGAAACAATTTCAAAGAATGCTAAATTGGGATACGTATAGAAAATGTTGGAAGGAAATGATTTTTTTTTTTAAAGAAGAAGGCAAGAAAATTTTACCCAGATTTGGGTAATTATTCCTGAAGGTTTAATGATCACTTAACGTTTACGATCCTTTAAGAAGTCATATAGTAAGTATTCTGTTGTGGAAATTGAGCATATACTGAAGGGATGAATAAAAAAGTCAACAGCCCTAGTGCTAGTTGGTTATTTGTGGGTAAGAATAAAATTTCCAGGGGAAAATTTAATTTTCTGGACACAGATTCTGAAAGTGCTCTATTTCAAAAGAACTTGGCACAGAGGAGAGATGATGAGCACCTGTGAAGGCTCACGCCATAACCAAGACAATGACATGGAAGATGCATCAGAAAAGTTCAAATGAAGCTTTCATGAAATGTGAGAGCAGGGAAAAACAAATTGTCCTTAAATTAATATATTACTTTTATGTAATTTTGAATATGTATATGCAATTGAAGTACTGTAAGTATTATAAGTCTCTAAAAGTTTACGTATTCAAATTAAACTAGATCAGATTGATCAAAATGGTGGACTAGAAGGACCTGGAATTCACCTCCCCTGTGAACATACCAAACTAAACTAAATACCTGAAAAAACTTCTCATTGGCAAACTGGAGGACTGCCTGATATTTAGGGCCACCCTACATGCAGAACAGTTAACATAGCAGTCCTGAGACTGCTATCCTTAGAAGGCCTGTTTGCAAGGTTGACTGTTGGCTGGCTTTTGGGAACTTAGATTTTGGAAGGGTTTCCTGATTCCGTATTTCTTATTCTCTAACAAGAATGGCTCACTGTGCCTAACTATTTGTGTAAAACAATATGTTTTATGCTGAATACCCACATTCCTTTAGGGAGTCTGAAATTTTGGTACATGCCAGGCAGATAAGTGCCTACACGACCAGACCCCAATAAAACCCAGGCACTGAGTCTCTAATGAGCTTCTCTGGTATAACCAACATTTCACATGGGCTGACACAAGTTGTCACTGGGGAGGATTAAGTGTGTCTGGTGTGTATGACCCCACTGGGTGTGTATGACCCCACTGGGAGAGGACTCTTGGAAGCTTGCGCCTGGTTTCCTCTGAACTTTGCCCCATGAGCCTTCTCCCTTTGCTGATCTTGCTTTGTAATAAGCAAGAATTATCATAATAAATTCTAACTATAAGGACAACTATACACTGAACTCTATAAGTCCTCCTAGTGAATCATCAAAACTGGGGGTGGTCTTGGGGACCCTTGAGAGAACTTATACCTAAATTTGCCTTATATTTGGACTCATACAGTACATGTCGGGGGCAAAAAAAAAAAGGTTGGCTTTTAAGAGAACTATCCCTATGGGAAACTAACAGCAGTAAAATCAACCCTACATTGACTTTAGGAGTCCAGTCCCACTAACTTATCTAAGGCTCCCTGGTTTCCCAACTGATCACTTCACTCATCAACTCAGGATACCCAACAACTGAAATTTACATTCCCAGGGAGATTCTCCAATTAGAAATGTAGCATTTCTGAGAAAAGGTGAGGGAACCTCCTCTCCCACCCCACCCTCCCAACTCTGGTGCACCTTGTGAACTTTCCTACTTGGCCTACAGAGATAAGACTTCTCTGCGTCAACAAATCTAGACCAAAAGACAGCAATCTACCAAAACAGAAAATAAATACCGTATACACCATGTAGTTCATCAAGTAATCAATTTTAGTTCTTTTAAATCTGGTTTTCCCACTATTCTTCATTATTTTAGTGTCAGCACCTAAAAATGGAAAATTCAATATGATCAACAATGGGGAAAATCAATTCACTGGCATGTCAATAAAATGACTCTTTCTTTGGTTTCAACAGAGAAAGGACATAAAATCAATTTCCTCCTTTAAATTTTTAATGAGCCTACAGATCAATTTCCCAAGAGACTCAGAAAGTACCTGCAAAAATGACCAATCCATGGCAGAAATCAGTGTTCCTGATTACACAGCCGCGTAACAAAATTTTATCAGCATCCAAAGGAAAACTTGTATTTCTCCAAAACAGTGTTCCTGTAAACTTATCTAGTCGGTTATTCGGTTCCTCACATTCAATAAAACCTTTTAAAGGAGATATGATCTACATAAGTACTCACATATGAAAGATTTTCTGGTTTTAATGAATACGGACTGAATCAAGCTATGAAAATTTGAAACAAAGGAAGACATGTTTGCACAAACCATCAAATGTTGCCAATGAATTTTCTTTCTGGAGATGCTGATGTGTGATTTCAAGTGCCATTTTGAACTTTAAATTGGTTTCTCTAAAGGAAGAGAAAAAAAAATTAAATGAACAAATGTCAGAGTTCGAACAGGAAGTTAAAGAAAATTGTACAAAGTAACATTAGGCATACCTGGAAGTGAAAGGTAAATAATTAGTTTTTTTCTATTTTCAAACTCTCTGTTCACTTTGGAACTTCAGGTTTGGATGAAGTTATCCCCTGAACTAGATTAAAATCCCTGACCCAGGAAATGTTGGCCCCCTTTGCTGTTTGTTACAGTGAGGCAATCTGGGTTGGACAGAGGTACCCAGAAGCTTCCTTTCCCACTTCTTACTAACTTAATTCTTACCACCAACCTGAACTATCAAACTGCTGTTTAAAAACTTAGCTTCTAATACTTAATCACACTAAGATAATTCTACAAAACACATTTGTGTTTGAAAGGGTCAAGACTCTATCAATTTAATATTTTCTAGAGTGATAACTGGATCCTATGTCTTTGAAAGATTAATTCTATCTATAAAAGGACATGGTCACCTTACCCCCAATACTTGGCATGTTCCCACCGCAGTGGAAGGCTAGGCACATGCAAGAGGACACGCGGGGCCAGGCTGCGCACACACGCTCTGGAAAGCAAGCCTTTCTTACTACGATGAATGACTTTTTTCAAGTTCCACAAATACTGACTGGGGATTTCCATGCACAAAGAAGTGGACCAGTGGTTCTCAACCTTCCATTCTGTTTGCTCTGACAGAGCATGCTAGCATTTTATATCTTTGTAAAACTTTAGAATCTCTCACTCACGGGAATAAGAGCTGTTGTACAGTTAAGGTTGAACAATCAACAGACTGATGTATAGAGCAAAGAAAGCCCTCGTTTTTACTCAGATGATCTCAGCTCTCCATAACGAAGCTTACACACATCTAGGGTGTGGGGAAAGGGGTTCATGCCAGAATGGAAAGCACAGGCACTGGCCTTGGGAGCGAGCACAGGGGAGTAGCACTCCAACTCTGCCACCCACTGTGTGACCTTGGGCAGGCGGCCTCCCTCCAGTGCCTCAGTTTCCTCATGGGTAACTTCGAGGTAATAATAATATTGCCTCATAGGGTTGTTGAAAAGATTAAATGAGCTACTACACGAAACTAATGCAATCTAGTCGGCACTCCATAAATATACTGAAAACTGGTCAAAATGGTCAAAAATGGCAGTTTATCTTTTCAAGGGGTAGCATAATAACCAAAACCTACAAAGGGGGAAAACAGTCCACTGGCAAAGACTTTAGAAATCTATTCTTTTTATCCAAAACAGATACTAATAGTCATTCATCTGTGTCTGAGCACTGATCAGCAGCTTACAAAGGGCTCAGGCATACACTGTGTCATCAAACCTTCTACTTTCCCTGAAAATGGACTTTCAAATATGGCAATGGAATAGGCAAAGAGAAGCTGGTATACTAGGGAGTCAGACCACTGTTGTCTTACTGTTGGTCCTTCTAGGTACTAACGAGGCAAAGACAAAGAGAGGCTGGTCTCCTACAGAGGTTGCTGGGCAGCCAGCAGGGGGTAGAGGTAAGGCCAGACCTCAGGGCTTCTCATCCAAGTGCACAGCTTTCAATGTAACAAAGGTTAGCCTTCCACAGGCTAGCTTTGCAACAGGCCCAGCTAAGACCCACTCACCCATCCAGTTCAGCCGTTTCCACGTAGCAGAGGCTGTTAGGTTCAGAGCTGGACAGCAGCAGGATGTCAGCCTGTTTGAAACAAAACACACCAATAACACAGAGAGACCCCGACCCCCCAGGCAAAACTGAGCACCAGGTCAGATGTGAGGGCAAGGGATGAGACAGCAGAGCTTGTCCACTTACTGGGATGAAATCATTTTTTTTCAGACGAATGACATCTCCGACTTGAATCTCTTTCCACTTGGCAATTTTGAACCTAAATATTAAAAAAAAAAAAATGATAGTTTAGTGGCTTTTTAAAGTTACTGGCAATGGATTTGAAATTATTCTGTCTGGAAGCCAAAGATTCTGGGAAAACATATACATCACAGGGAAAAGGTGCCAGAAGTTCAGCCATCTGATGAATAAGGGGTCACAGGACCGTCATCTCCTCTGAAGGAAGGAACAATGGCGGTGCTGACTTTGATGTGTCCTTTCCATTCTATGTTGTATAACTGAGGTCAATGGGGGCTCCTTAAATGTGTGGGAAGGAGACACATGCCACCCCTCTGTTTTTGCTCATGTCCTGTACTCCCAGCCCTTCTCCTTCCTTTCCTCTCAGTTATCCATCACCTGCTGGTCCCAGGACAGGGATGCACTATGGCTCCCACATGGGCCACCTGGAATCATCATGGAGCTCTAGTGCTGGCCTCCTCTCTACTGTTTAAAGTTATCTTTTTGATGAGTGTGTGCCACTTTCCTAATGAATCTCCTAAGGATATTGATAAAATAAAAAGATTGCTTCGTTCAGTATTAAATTCTACTGGAAACACTCATTTAAACGTTTAACAAGTCAACATTTTTTAAAAGTTTTAAAATATAGTATAGGCAGACCTTGGAGATACTGCAGGTTCAGTTCCAGACCACCACAACAAAGCAAATATTGCAATAAAGCCAGTCATATGAAATTTTTGGTTTCCAGTGCATATAAGTGTTATGTTTACACTATACTGTAGTCTATTAAGTGTGCAATAGCATTATATCTAAAAAAAATGTACATACATTCTTTAAAAATACTCTATTGCTAAAACTCTGTCATCTGAGCCTTCAGTGAGTTGCAATCTTTTTGCAAAAGCGACATCAAAGATCACTGATCACAGATCACCATAACAAAAAAATAATGATGATTAAGTTTGAAATATTTCAAGAATTACCAAAATGTGACAGAGACACGAAATGAGCAAATGCTGTTGGAAATACGGCAGCTTGCTTGACGCAGGGTTGCCACAAACCTTCAATTTGTTAAAAAAATGCAGTATTTGTGAAGTGCGATAATGCAAACTGCAATGAAGTAAGGTCTGCCTGTTGTCTGGTTTAAAGGTTTTCATTATAGAAAAGACATCCCTAACAGATACTATGAACCTACCACAACTAATATCCTTAATTGTTTTGGAGACAGAAATCCAATTACTATGTTGGTCCTCCCGTTAATTTATGGACAAAAGAGACCTGGAGATTTAAGGTACATTTAAAATATACGCTTATACCTCAGTTTCCCCAATTTTACAAGAATTTAATACACAATTTTTAATCTCAAGATTTTTCTTAACCTGGCTTATCTTTCACGAAGAGGAATGGTAGTTAGTTTACATTTTAATATTTCTGAAATGGTCAATTAGCAATTTGCGTGTGGGTCTCAATTATAAAGGAACAAGTTAAGCACCTTCTTGCCACAGCTCTTCAGGGGTATTAGAAGCAATTCCGTTTGACTCTTCCGCTGTGTTGTCCAGTTTCCCCTTGGGAGACCCCTGTCATTTTGCCCCACGGATGCCCAAGTCCCCATACATGGGCTGTCGGGGCCACAGTCATGCCTATATGCAGTCCTAACCCCAGTTCAAGGCTACTCAGAGCTACTCTTTACCAGTGTAGTCGGCCGGGCTGTGGGCTACACAGGGCTCTGGCTATGAATCTCACCACCATCCACGACAGTGATTCTAAGTGACTTGAAAGGTAACCTTTGGAACAGAATCTATTTATTTGGAAGGGAAAAAAAGCATCTAAACATATTTAGAGATTAAAATAGTCTATATTCAAAGTAGACACCACTGAAGCGTGGCTATAACTCGGGTTATTTTCCTCAGTGTTGACACACGAAACGTCTTTGAATTGGGCCTTAGTCACTATTTTTAGCACTTGCATTTGTAGTTCTGCCTGGAAGCTCTTGCTCAAAAAACGACTCACCACTGGTCCCTGAGTTGGCACGTGGGTCACCACTGACTACATTACTTTAGCAAACATTGAGGAGCACGTTCTGTGCGCTGGGTGCTCAGGCGGACACAAAAACAAATACCACCAGGTGCAGTCTCCCCGAGAAACTCAAGAGTTCCAGAGAGATGAGACTTCCACACAAATAATTCTAATGAAATTCAGATCCTAATAAGAAAGATGAAAACAAAACGCTCTGAAAACACAGTGAGGGACTTCCCCGGTGGCGCAGTGGTTAAGAATCCGCCTGCCAATGCAGGGGACACGGGTTCGAGCCCTGGTCCAGGAAGATCCCACATGCTGCGGAGCAACTAAGCCCGTGTGCCACAACTACTGAGCCTGCGCTGTAGAGCCCGTGAGTAACAACTACTGAGCCCGCGTGCCACAACTATTGAGCCCACGAGCCACAACTACTGAGCCCACGAGCCACAACTACTGAAGCCCGCGCACCTAGAGCCCGTGCTCCGCAACAAAGACAAGCCAACGCAATGAGAAGCCTGCGCACCGCAACGAAGAGTAGCCCCTGCTCATCTCAACTAGAGAAAGCCCATGCGCAGCAACGAAATAAATAAATATCTAAATAAATAAATTTATTTAAAAAAAAAAACAGTGAAGGAAGAAATCACTGTAGCTGGGGAGTCAGGAAGGGTGTCAGGTCATCTGGGCAAAGCCCTGGGCAGCATAAGTTTGGGAAGAGAAGAGATGAAGCGGCACACTCCAGGATGAGTGTAAACACAGGAGTGCCGAGGACACAGAGCCCCATCGGGCAACCGCCTGGACCCCAACTTGGGTATAGCTTTGTCTTAGGAAGTGAAGAGAGGCCTTTATAAGGAAAACGTTCATGCACTGATAGACTTTCAAGTTCAAATAGTTATCTCTAAGGATGTTTCCAGATGTATTTGTACAACACATCCTTGGAAGAAAGTCACACATTGAGAAAAGCATGGTACCTGCCATCCTTAATGACTTCACACGTCCTATTGTTGATTTCGTTGTCCATTTTATGGCGAGCCTTGAGAGGAGGGATGGGAAAGGTTATTTTAATAATCTCAAAATGCCAAGTATTAATGCCACTTGAAAATATGCTTGCAGCAGTGAGGAGGAAGCTGCGGAAAAAATCCTTACCACATCGTCCACGAGGTCTTTGATGGCCGTGATGCCCAGCACCACCAGCAAGGGCACCAGGGTGGTATACCACGCCAGGGTCGTGATTTGAGGGATTGCCTGAAAGAGATAAAAAAGAAGGCGTACGTGTGTGCCCAGGAAGGCACAGCTAACCTACGGGCAACTGCTGACTCTAAGCTTGTTGATTCTAAGGCTAATCTCCATTATCATGCAGGTCTGCATCCTGCCAAGCAGGCATGAAAAGGTGCTGAAGCACCCAGCTAACCTTTCTCGTGCCTCTCTCTCTCTCTTTCTCTCTCTCTCTCTCTCTGTCTCTCTCTCACTTCTGGTCTCCTGGGACACAGCCCAGAGGACAGTGGCTCCTGGTCTCATTATGGCTTTCACTGGACACCAAGGAAGCTTTGTAACATGATATCTAAGAGAGAAATGCTCCAGACCTTTTGTGAAAGTCATAATTAACTACGGGCAGGCACTGTAGGGTCCCAGGGAGAAGCAGTCCCTTAACTTTTAGGGACTGCATACAGCAGGCTCTACGCTGCTGGTTGCTCAGCAGTGGTCTCTGAGGGTCCCGTGATGGAGGCAAAAACGGCAGTAGATAGTGGCTGGCTCTGGATTGGGTGGGGCATCTATGGGACCATTAGAAGAAAGTGCTTCCTTCATGGTCCTTGCTATCGGTCTAGCCAAGAAAGAGGGTGGCCTTGCAGGAAGCCTCGCATCCATCAAGATGGCCATCAAGTTGGAATAAAAGATTGGGAAGCAAGTAAAGACCTCTTGCAACCATCCTATTGATCGTCAGGCCATATCATGTAGTGGTTAAAATGACAAGCTTTGGAGTCAAACTCCTGGATCCAAGTCCTACCCAGCCTCGCCACGTAGGGTGATAGGACCTGAAGCAAGTTCCTCTACCTCACCAGCCTTCAGTTCTTCTCTGCAAATTGAAGGTTATGATAGTACTTAACGAGCACAAGAATTAAGTGAAGTAACAGTGCGAGGAAAGGGCTGTCTAGGGCTATTACTAGTTCCCTAATCTGGATCACCGTACCTTCAGAAAAGATAATTAGGGGATGGTTAGAAGAGAGAAAGCTCATTTCCCACATTATTGTCAATAGGCGGAACTCCCCTTTTCCGTCTAGAAGGAAGTAAAGGGAAGGTGGCACTTTGCTATCCAGATACGTGAATTCCTTGCCACGATTAAGATAAAAAACAACAACAACAAAAAACCTCAGGAAAAAATTAGGCCTTTCCAGTAGTGTAAAACTAGTTCACGAAAATAATTTGAGAATTATGACCAAAATACTAATAAAAATCAATATTTTGGCATCTAAATAAAAAAATAAAGGCCAACCATGAAAAAATGGATTTAATTTTAAGGTACGATTATTTTACAAAGTGAAGATTTTAACTTCACTCACTTCAGGGAAACCAGTTTTACCACTGACATCAGTAGGAAATTGAATTTTTTAAAATACAGAATTAAAATAACGTTTCCATTTGCCCCCATTCCCTGTTCATTTAACAGCGTTGAGCTCGTTGTCTATAAGGCGCTTTCCCTTACGTGCAGAACGCAGATGTCCGTACAGAAAACTTTCAAGATTATTCACATTTTATATGCAACTTAAACAATAACAACCTGAATGTTATTAAGTCACCATAATTCAAAACAGATTTAAGATATCAAAGGGCATTACCTGTAAGATAAGAAGGACCAGGAAATAGAAATTGGCTGCTCTCTTAAACTGCTCAAACAAATTCATTGGTAGAAAGGTAAACGCATTATACTTGTATGTTTTAATTGCATTAGTCTGTTGGAAAAAATGAGAAAGTCACTCTAAACAATGCCACACACTTATCACAGCGTCACAATGTATATACACCTGCAAAAATCACTAAGCCCTGTGGCCTACAGGGACCAAGGACGTAAGTCGTCAGAAAGATACTGAGATTTCCTTTAAGCTTTTACTTCTAACCGGGTCTCAAAATGACCCCTTGGAGGCTTATGTCAGAGACAGTGACAAGATGCAGACATTTCATCTCAAAGGTCTCTGTGGCAAATCTGGCTGTGACCAAATGGATCCTGCTGTTGGGTCCCTTGACCCCTTAGAAGCCTTCTTGAAAATGGGGCAAAGACGGGAAGAAAATAGGAGACATCAACATGGGGGGAAAAGGAACGTTCTTTTACTTAAGAGGGATGGAGGCTGTGTGAGAAAAAGAGACGGGTGTGGCTGAGTTGTGTGCCCCGAAAGATATGCTCAAGTCCTCACTCCGATACCTGCGATGGTCATCTTATTTGGAAATATAGTATTTGCAGATGTAATCAGGTTACAGTGAAGTCATGCTGGATTAAGGTGGCCCTAATCCAATGACTGCTGGCCTTAGGAGAGAAAAACTGGGCAAAGACACAGAAACACACAGGGAGGCCATGTGGAGACAGAGGCAGAGAGATTGGAGTGCTGCGTCTACAGGCCAAGGAACACCACGGAGTGTCAGCCAGAAGCCACAGGAGACGTTTGGAACAGATTCTCCCTCAGATGCTCCAGAAGGAACCAACCTTGCTGACACCTTGATGTTAGACTCCTGGCCCCTTGAATCGTAAGAGAATAAATTTCTGTTGACTTAAACCACCCGAGTGGTAGCACTTCATTAGAGCAGTCCTAGGGATCTAACAGACAAACATTTCAGCCCAGACGTAGTGGGGGTTCTTTATATTTCAATGACAATAAGCATTTTTGAGGTGAAAATATCTTCAAAGTCTCTAAATCCATCACAGGCAGAGGAGGGGGAAATAAGTTACTAAGATTCCTTTCAAATTCTTATTACTGTCAAAAACAAGGCTTCTGTGATATTACTGTAGATTCTTTTATAAAATATTTTTAAAAGAGCTTTGTACACACAGAGGGGAAATTTCAATCTACACAATTTTGTTTTGTTTTAAGCCACCCCCACACACCCTTAAGGTAGTTAATCTTAGTGGGATGAATAAAAATGACATTCTAGGAATCTACAATATGACACAAATGAACCTGTCTATGAAACAGAAACAGACTCACAGACCTAGAGAACAGACTTGTGGTTGCCAAGGGGAATGGAGTGAGAGTTTGGGGTTAGCAGATTCAAACTATTATATATAGGATGGATAAATAACAAGGTCCTACTGTATAGCACAGGGAACTATAGTCAATATCCTGTGATAAACCACATGGAAAAGAACTTTTAAAAGAATGTGTGTGTGTGTATATATATATATATATATATATATATAAAAAACTGAATCACTTCGTTGTTCAGCAGAAATTAACACAACATTGTAAATCAACTAGACTTCAATTTCAAAAATGACATTCTAGAGAACTAATGATGATTATCAGTAGCCCCAGGCCAGGGGTTACCTGGAAGGCAGGTACCACACGAAGCCAGTAAGCATGATGGCTACTGGGAAAAACTGGCTTTTACTAAAATTAATTTAGGAAGTTAAAATCAACTTACCGCATATTTGCTCTCCTTAATACAAAAGAACTTTGTGTTCATAAAATGAGGTTGTTCGTGGAAGCTTCGATCATTCGCTTTGACTTGCCATGTACAATCTTTAAAAAAGAAAGAGAAAAAAGTCCATCAAGTTGAAAATTTGTAGGTTGCTATGGGTTGAATTATGTCCTTCCTAGATTCACGCATTGAAGCCCTAACCCCCATCCTGTACCTCAGAATATGACCTTATTTGGAAATAGTCACTGCAGATACAATTAAGTTAAAGTGGGGTCATTAGAGTGGACCCTAATCCAATATGACTTTAGGACAAAAGAAAATTGGGACAGAGATACCCGTAGAGGGAAGACAGTGTGAAGCCACAGGGAGAAGACAGCCACTTACAAGCCAAGGAGAAAGAGGCCTGGAACAGATCTTTCCCTCACAGCCCTCAAAAGGAATCAACACCACAACACTTCGATCACAGACTTCTAGCCTCCAGAACTGTGAGACAAAAAATATCTGCTGTTCAAGCCGCCCAGTTTATGGTACTTTGTTAGGGCAGCCTGAACAAACCAATGACCATGTTGTAACTTGACCCACTGTCCAGAGAACATTCAATTCTAAAAGAGAAATCCTCATTTAAACATGGCCCGAACAAAAATCCCAGAGCTCTACAAAGTGACAGCTAAATTATTACTTCAAACTCATTTACTTGGTCTGTAAGATGTATAACCCATTACATACTTAGCGAATGAATAAATCAAAGAAAAAGGGTATCGCCGATGAATTCAACACTTTTGAGTCGTGATCATAGATCGGGGCTGTGCATGGCTTTATCCTGATGGCCAGCATCTGCTGCTGTCTTTCTAAGTTCATTCCATGCACTTAATGTCACATCTACCACTCAAATGCCAGTTCTAATTCCAGGGAACTTTAGAAAGCCCTCGGCTTCTCTGTTGCTAAAGGGAACAACTCTCAGGCGATAGGTTCCCATAAAACCTCTGACAGGCTGGGAGGACCCTCCGAGGACATGCTTGCCGACCTTCTGAATGGACAGGAAAGGTAAAGTTCACAAACAGTGAGATATAGTTTATCTCTAGCCTGATTCCTTTCCATCTCAATGGTGGAGTCCAGCTCCTAATGGAAATTTCAGCCAAAGGGACCTTCAACCTAGAGATGAGTAGCCTGGCAGTCAGGCTACAGTTGTAGGGAAGAAATTTCCACCCACCTGTTCTGTCTTTGCCCATCCGCTCTTGACTTCTACTGTCGCATGATATATGGCTCTAAAGGGAACATTTGTTCAGTGCTTAGTAGGTGCCAGGCATCATGCCAAGTAGTTAGTTAATATGTCAGTTTTACAGCTGAGGAAACGGAGGCAGAGACAGGATTCAGGGGGAGAATCAGAATTCAAAGTCTGGCAGTCTGACCCCCAAGCCAACCTCTCCATCCACCTTGCTCTACTGACTGGACTTTCTTTTGTGATTTATGCTACAAACCACCATGAGAACTGCCTTGTTAGTGAGCAGACTTGGGGGTGGGGGCGGTCACTTATCAGTATAGGGTCAACCTTTCCACTGTTACCCAATATCAGGCTGTGCTTCTTCTCCTAACAGGAAGGCATGAGTTGTCACCGCTATGAAAGCTCAAGACAAGGATATTATAACTTAGGAAGAAAAGTTCAGGAAGCACCTTTTTGGCATAAGGTCCCCCACTGACTGTGTGTTTGAACATGCAGGTGAGATGAACTTCCCTTGTGTGACACACACGAGAGTGGGTGAACCAGGTGTTTTTTTTTCCCCCACATTACTCTTTTTTTAATTAAAAATTTTTTTTTTGTATTTTGGCCACACTGTGTGGCACATGGGATGATTGCCGGACCAGGGGTCGAACCCAGGCCTCCGCAGTGAAAGCTCCAAATCCTAACCACTAGGCCACCAGGGCCTCCATGAACCAGGTCTTGATGAGCTCCTTCTTCTGCAAACTGACACAGAAGGGGGATCAACAACTCGTGAGACACTCTTTTTGGAGATGGGATTATATTAAAGAACATTTACAAGTAAAGGATTATAAGATTATCAATCTTATGACTACAATTATAAAAACTTAAATGTGCTTTAGAAAAAAACATATTTCTTTTTTTGTTTGTTTGTTTTTTTGTGGTACACGGGCCTCTCACTGTTGTGGCCTCTCCCGCTGCAGAGCACAGGCTCCGGACGCGCAGGCTCAGTGGCCATGGTTCACGGGCCCAGTCGTTCCGCGGCACGTGGGATCCTCCCGGACCGGGGCACGAACCTGCGTCCCCTGCATCGGCAGGCAGACTCTCAACCACTGCGCCACCAGGGAAGCCCCATATTTCATTTTTTAATGATTCACTTTCCAGACTTTTACTTCCAACAAAGTACGTATAATACTGTAAAAGGAACAATTGCGGACTACTGAAGAAAGCAAATAATTAACCTTACGACTTTTTAAAAACCACTATACCATTATTGAAAATTTCTCTTGCATCATTTGGACTGCCATTCATTGGGTAATCATAACTGTTATGTCATGACAAATGGAAATGTTCTAAGCATCTTTTTAGCTTACATGCGATATTATCAAAAGGGAAAATTTAAATGGAACTACACGACAGCTCCTGAGGGCTGTTGGAATGTGTGCAATCAGAACATTTCTTTTCGACTGAAAAAGGAGATCAAAATGAAAGTAGGTTAAAAAAAGATATTTTACAGGGTAATCTTGAATCCATTCTATTTTATGGTAACTTGCAAATTTTTTTTTTTTTTTTTTGCATATGCAGGCCTCTCACTGTTTTGGCCTCTCCCGTTGCTGAGCACAGGCTCTAGACGCGCAGGCTCAGCGGCCATGGCTCAGGGGTCCAGTTGCTCCACAGCATGTGGGATCTTCCCAGACCGGGGCACGAACCCATGTCCCCTGCATCGGCAGGCGGACTCTCAACCACTGCGCCACCAGGGAAGCCCAACTTGCAAATTTTTAAAGGTTTAATTTGGCTCCCAGATGACTTGTAACACATCCCTGGTCACGAGTGTTCTAGAATACCTCTGAGAACTGCCGTTCAAAAATTCAGGAAGGTTGAGAAGAAAAACAGACAAGATTCCTCGAGAAGGGATAAAAATCAATCTCAGAAATACTCAAGAGGAAAGAATAAGCTGCCCTGTTAATGAGCTGGATTCTTCGTCCCCCTTGCGGCCCTTTAAATTTGCTTCATAATTAAGTCCTCCAGCCAGTGGTTCCTCTGTCTCAGCACAACCCCCTCATTCCCCAGCCCAGTTTGAATTGGATGCCTCAGATAGAGGGTAGTATCTGACCTCAAGTAGGGGCAGTGAAGGGTCTGCTAGAAATGACCTTGGTCTCTTAATTTTACAGTTTGAATAACACGTTGGGGAGCTTGGAGAAAGTAACTAGTGTCTTCGTCTACAATATACTGAGCTTAACCACAGAAGCATTTGTAGTTAATTTCAGAAACCTGATTGCAGTCAAGTAATCAATAACCCTATTTCTAACAAGGTTCCTTGTTTGGCCTAATTCAGACAAATCAGCAGGCAAAGAAATTGGTTCCTTTTCCTGATAATTTCCTGAGTTTGACGCTAATTGCTTGAGGAATATTTCAATCAGAGACCATAAAGTAAGTGAAACGTGTTCTGTGGTCAAATACACAGCAGCCTACACAGCAAAACACAGCAGCCTACATCCCTCCCTTGGATATGCAATAGACCCACTGGTGTATTAAAGGCTCTGAGAAGTCCTGTAGTAAAGAAACATTTAATTTTATTTAATTTAATCTTTTCAAAATTAATGTGACCACAGGCACATTTTTAACAATCACAGAACACCTATTAATATGGAGTGAGAAATGCCATGCTAAAGCACATGCCTTTAGGAAAGGTAGCAAAATGACACTTGGAGATCTGTGGTTTTGATCAAACATTTACTAGGTCCCCAATTAAAACAGAGAACCTTACCGGACACTTGGACCACAAGGCTAATTCATAGAAAAAGTAGGAACCTTGACCCATTTTCTAGAATGGAAATATTGACCAAGAAAAGAGAAGAAGTAATACACTAACCAGCAAAAAATTCACCTTCACCATATAACCCTTTGGTTAAAAGATAGAGAGAAATCAGCTAACAAAGGTTGTGCCTGATAAAATCATCCATGCATGTTGCATTTACCATCAGCCAGCTGTGGCTCAAAAATCATCTGGTAAACGTGTATTTAATGTATGCAAATATGGCTACATGATGTTGGGTGCTCCCCGGGTCACCAAGTCCTTTGATCCTCACCATCCAGCAAAGAAAGTCAGCTTCGCCTGGCCTCTCATCCTCTCACAGCTGATTCTGAACTCTTGATCTATAGACAACTCTGCAACCAAAAAGTTGCATATTGGTTGGTACAAGCGGCAGCAAACTAGCAGAGTTAAACAAGCAAAAGTTTAGTGTCAGAAAAGAAAAAGACAAACAACCCAAGAGAGAAATGGGTAAAGGACAAATAGACCATTCACACACAGGGAAATTCAAGGGCTCTTAAATACATGAAAAGATACTCAAGTTCATCAGAAAAGAAGTACAATTCTTCAGTTACGTGCCCATTTTTATCCTATAATGGCAAAATAAACAGGCCCTCTTAGGTGGTCTCTGCGGAGAGCAATTTGGCCGTATCTATCAAACTTTAACACAGACACACGCGCTGAGTGAGTGTATATATACTCTTGGATAAAGAAACAACATATCTCAGGGCTATTCAATGCATCCCTGTTTATCAGAAAGATTAGAAACAACCTAAATACCACCAAGAGCAGCTGGCTGAACACCCACACAGTGACAGCCTACGTGGTCTGCAAAAAAGAATGAGGTACCTTGATGTGTACTGATATCTTCAAATTACACTAAGTGATAAAAGCAGGGAGGATCTACCATGCTTTAAGTGATGTGACATACGGGATGAAGGCACAATAGGAACGCACGCATGCACACACACCTGCACACATGTGATCACGTGTACGTGTATCTGTGGGTCTATAAGGGCTCGTGTTTGTAAGTGTTCTTTGCGCAAGGAGTGTGTGTTTATCTCCGGAAGGACATACGAGGAACTGGTAAC